CTACCAGAGCTCGCTAGTCCACATTCCTTGAACTCTGTTATAGCTCGCTTTTGTTGGAGCGGCTGTGGGCAGATATTTACTGAAACAAACCTTTTCGTTTTGGGATATATTCAGGCTTTGTCATGTAGCAAGTTATATTTATCTTGCCTAATTGGAGCATAGAACACAGCATTAACATTTGTAAACTAGTAACAGCCGTAATTCATGTGGGTCAGGTTAGTTTGCGATAAAATAAAAAAATAAACAAACAGAAGTCAGCGGGCTGTGCTGTTTGCGTGATGGGCGGGGCTGACTCTGGTGCAGCTCCACCTTTGTGGTTGTGTAGCGAGCACCCTCTCAACTCACAGAGACCCATATCTCTACAAAGTCAAAGTTAAAATCTACATATGTCACTTGAAGGTCGAGCAAAAGCCAGGTTGAACAGTTTTCAGCTGCTTTTTGAAGGAGTCCACTAATAACTGTTAATGAAAAGATAGAAAAAGTCGGCCTGAGTTTGTTTTAGTCGGAGGTAGAAGGTCTGCAGGTGCGTGAGTTCCTCTGACTTACACTTTCACTTCTGAAGTTACTCATGTCCACTTCTCTGTTGCTACCCGACTCTGCTCCTACTTACTAAACACACGTGCGCACGCGCGCACACACACACACACACACACACACACACAGAGAGAGCTGGATTAAATAAATGGACTACACTAGGCAGGCTGCATTTTATATATATATTGAAATATGTTGGCTCGACTTGCTGAAGCTCAAATGGAGGGGCTCACATGCAATAAAGTCTTCAACAGCTGTGCTTAATAGCAAAAATAAAGAAATAACAATTTTGAGTACCTGTCCACTGTAGTGACCATTATGCATCAAAGGGTTAATTATACGTCATTACACAGCTGTGTTAAATGCTAATAAATTATCCTCATCTTATCCATTGGGAGTGTCAATGTCAAGGCGGTACCAGTAAATAACCACTAGGTGTCATTATACTCTGTAAACAGAGCAATTATATTCATCTTATTTGCTCTGTTTACATTTAATCAACACATTTAATTAAAAAGATTTTCTGCTAAATACAATAGCTTACAACATTTATAAATGTTGACAAATTAATCCCATGATGGTGGAAAGACATTCAAGAAGAAATAGATTCATTTGAATGGACTGAAGCATGTTTTAAAGGCGCAAAAACAAACTATAAACACGCAGCTTAAATGATTACAGTATAAATTTTATACAATCTATAATCTTAAAAGAAAGTATTTTAATAAAATGAAAACGTTATCTTAAGTTTTGATCTTGCTTTATGCTCATTCAGGCTGTTGTTGCCTCTGCTGAATCAGAAATTCTGTGTCTATTTTCTGAGTGTGAACTTATTGTTAGTTTTGTTATTTGAACATTAATAAAAATATTTAAAAATAAAAATTAATAAAACCAGCAACAGTTACCAAGGAAACCATTTAGCACGCTCCACTCCGGGATAATCTTCAGCCTTCCAGCATCACAGGCCTCAGTCGCAGCAGAAACACATCTAAAGAAATGCTCCTTGGTTAAGCTTCGGTTCGTGTCTCCACATTTCCTCTGTGATGCAGAGAAATATGCAATATTTTGAGAGGGATGCTTTAGTGCAAAGTACTCACGCATCCTGTCATCAGTTTGGTTATGTACCACTGCAGGATCAGATGTAGCTTGTTAACACCCTTTCTGGGTCTAGAGGCTCCTGCTGGAAGACTAGATTGGGCTCACTTCTGGCTGGCTGCTCTTCTTCCAGTTCACCCTTCTGTGACGGCGTTGGTGCTACAGCGTCTTCCGCCGCATTTCCCGCCGCATCTTCGGGCTGTGTCTGCTCTGGGTCTGGCCTCTGGCTCTGCTGACTCGAGCAGGTTCACAGCTGTCGGACGGCTGCCCGAGCAGCCCGACAGAAACTTCTGTAAGGCCCCCGCCGTCTCTTCTTTTGTTCCTCTTCATTTTTTTTTCTTTTTACGTTTTGCCGCGCCCGAAAGCATCGTGAAAGTTAGCCTACTCAAAAACACCTGCTAGCTTTGTTGTGTCCCGCTCTGACTGACCGCTTCTCTGACGTCCTTAATTGGGTGGCGCCCAAGTTGTAGAATACAGTCATGGGCTGGCGTTAATGTGACGTAGCTAATGTAACGGTCTATGGTTAAGATAAACAGTATCACTAGGGCTGGGGGTAAACGATTATTTTTAAAACGATTATTCTGACGATTATTTTATCGAATAGTCGACAATTCTAATGACTATTTAGAAAATTAATCTAATAATTATTTTTCTATTGCACAATTAACAAAAACCAGAAAATCTCAATTAAATTCCTCAAAAAAATTGATAAATTCTTACTGTAAGAGAACAAACACTACAGGCCTTCCATTTTGTATAACACTGCGTTTATTGTGTTGGTTGGTTATGTTCTGGTGACATGTAGAACTTGGGAGTGCAGGCTGCTGCCTGAGAGGTGGTAGAAGATGGAGTGTCTCCATGCTGCTTTGTTTTGGTCACTTATGTGCGTGAGGCGAGTGGTCTTACGGGTTAAACCAAACTCAGGTGATATTTTACACTAAACCGAAAACCCACAACACTCTAAATGTAATAAAAGGGAGATCTACACCACAAAAAAGATGAACTCTAAACCAAAACGTAACAGCTTATCCAAACGCAAGAAGCTGTTAGCGAAGATGCTAACAGTAGCTTTACCAACATTAAGTTCAAGTTACCAAGTTTAAATAAACCAAAAACACCCAGCAGCAAACAGACCAGCAAGGAGGAGAGACTGCTACCACCAAAACAGCTCTCCTCATGTCTGAAAGAAGCTCCTTAATGAAGGGAGAAGCGCTCCCGGTGATTTTCTACATCTGCGATAGACACGAAGCAGCGCATCTGACCCCGGAAGTTGTTGTCCGTTGCCGGGAGACGAAGGCGGGCAAAACAGGAAAATAATCTAGTAGAGGACGGACGTTGTTCCGGGTCTTCGGTATTTGGCGGAGATGTTAGTGAAGGCGGAGAAGAGGGCGAACTAGAGGAAAAACAGGCAGATTCCTCCTCTATTTACAAACTCCTGGGGATGCAACAAGTGGGCGCGGTGCGTCGACTTCCGGATCTGACGTCGACAAATTTTTAGAATCGAGCCGTCGACTTCGTCGAGGCTTCGCTACAGCCCTAAGTATCACTATTTTTAGTTAATTAATAAATATTGAAATAAACTGTAGATGGAGTCCTATCCACAAATTATATCATAGGAGATTTGTACATTTAATTTTAAATTAATTAATTTTTTATTTTGTCCCTCTGTCTGGGCCCCATCCAGCCAATCAGGCCCTAGGCACGTGCCTACTTTGCCTTTGCGTTAATCCGGCTCTGGTCAAATCCCAGTCGGGTCACACCAGAGACTTTAAAGCCACGTGTGTGAAATCCATTAAAATCATCATAAAAAGTGTGACTCTTTAGCGCCGTGCAGTTCAGAGGAAGTACTGCAGCCACTTTAGCTAAATGTCCTCCTAAAAACAATATAAAAGGAACAGTAAAAACATTCCTGTTCACTCTTTACAAGCTTATATGTCATTTATGACAGTTATGTAAAAGGACGTAATCTCACTCAGCTTGGCCATCTCTTGTTTGAGCTTGTTAAGTCCTCATTTGGACCTGGGTTAGGGCTACCTGTAGTTTAGCTGGTTCCCTCTCAGCTCCTCTTGCCTCACAATTACCCTCTGGTGGAGGATCCTCCCACTGAACATCTTGTAGCGGATGCCATTGTTGGGCTCATTTCTGAAAACAAAAACAAGACAGAAAAAACATTGATTGCTTAATCAAACACACAATGTTTCATTATGAATATAAAATAATAATAATAAGTACTCCAAATGTATATCTGCTCCAGAAGCTGGTGTACTGACAGCTTCTGGATGATCTCGCCTCCAAAGACACAATCTTTGTCTTTCATTTGCAACAAGATGTCATCTTGCTTCAGCTCAGCAGCTTTCTGTTTTCTGCAACTGGCCTTCAGTTGAAAAATTACAATTCAGTTAATGAAGGAGAAAGTTGAGAGTGTGTGTGTTTGCCTATATGAATTTGAGCTTAAGTATCATCAGCCCCTGAAATCCCAAACATTGAATAAGCCTATATTTAGTCAGGTGACAGTAGATACCATTCCATATCATACCAATTAATTTGTAAAGTTTGTTAAATAATTATTATGTAAATGTACAGTATTTAAAAAAATAATGATTGACTTCAAAAATGTAGAAAATATTCCATTAATTCGACAGATCAATTACGTTTTTCCATTTAAATAACTAATTTCACAAACTTGCATTGTTTTATTCTCAGTTAGCTGACATATTTTGACTGGTGGTTAACTGAACATTTTACAATGTAGATAAAAACAAATGTATTTAATAATATAATGTGTTGGCAATTTTAATTCAAGTCGAAGCATTCGATATAAAACAGGTGCGTAAACTCTCATTACCTTTCTCCTCAATGTTCATCTATGAAAGATGGAGCATTTAATAACATGCGACTCCATCGTTTGTGTATTTAGCAATAACACTCACAAGATGGTAGTGAAGGACCTCCAGCCTCTGCCCTTCGTGGAGACTCATGATTTTCAGCTGTTGGTGAGGGTTATTGACGCAAAATATAAACTTCCCAGCAGAAGCAAACTCACAGAGACCCATATCTCTACAAAGTCAAAGTTAAAATCTACATATGTCACTTGAAGGTCGAGCAAAAGCCAGGTTGAACAGTTTTCAGCTGCTTTTTGAAGGAGTCCACTAATAACTGTTAATGAAAAGATAGAAAAAGTCGGCCTGAGTTTGTTTTAGTCGGAGGTAGAAGGTCTGCAGGTGCGTGAGTTCCTCTGACTTACACTTTCACTTCTGAAGTTACTCATGTCCACTTCTCTGTTGCTACCCGACTCTGCTCCTACTTACTAAACACACGTGCGCACGCGCGCGCACACACACACACACACACACACACAATAACCACGGATTAAAACGTAAACAAAAGGCTCGTCCAGGTCACGTGATGCGGAAACAACAACCCCGCTGATGCAAACAGCTGCATCTACTTGCAGTTCCACCCCCCCTCCCCCCGCCACGCACGTGCGCGGACGTACGTACGTAAGCGTGACGTCATCAAAGAGCTATCGCATTACTTTGTTGCGTCATCAGAAAGAAGACTTCAGTCTGTTAAGGTCGTTGTACGAAACGGATCACATCACAGCTCTCTACAGGAACCGCTTACCACTGCTTAAGTCATCAGTTAAAATGGCTCGTGAGATGAATCTTACAGAGTTGAAGGCTAAATTAGACCAGAGTAAGGCCAACGAGAAATTACTCACAGCCAAAATCAATGAACTGACATCAGAAGTTAAGAATTTACAAGAAGTTTTATCTGAAAAAGAAACTGGGTGGAAAAACCAGTTGGACGATTTAACAAAGAAAAATACCAGATTTCAAAGGGAAATAAGAAAGGAGAAAAGTCAGCTGTCTAATGCAATGATTCGGCTGACAGAGAGTACGGCAAAACTAGAAGAAACCGATAAATGCCTGGAGCCCTTGAAGAAGGAATACCAACATGTCAAACAAAGGCTTGAAAAAGACTTGGAAAAGCAAACGTCAATCCAAAAGTCCATTGAGGAAAAACTAAACAATTCAGTGCAAACAAACACTGAATTAAAATTACAAAACGAAGAGTTTTCTAAAGAAAATGAAAAACTTCAAGCTTTAAATGAGTCATTATCGAAAGATATGGATATATTGAAATGTTCACTGGCTAAAGAGATAATTAGAAGAACAGACTTGGAAACGAAATGTGAAAACTTGGAAACGACCATCAGGACAAAGGTTGAAGTTCCGTTAAATAATAGGATTAAAGACTTAATGGGCCACATCGACCAACTGAAAGCTGATGCTAAAAAAAAGACTGCATATGTAACACGTTTAGAATCAGATAAGAAAACGTTACTATCAGAAAAGACACAGCTGAAAAGGAAAAATGATGAATGGCCAGAGAAATACTTTGAAATTACTCAGGAAAATAAAAAGCTTGCTAAAGAATTAGAACACACACGCATTCTTCTTGACAAAAATGCCTCAGAAATCCAAAATCTAAATCTTCAATTAGGCAATGCTGTCAGTAAACGATGGGATGTTGAACAAGAGAAAAAGGAACAAATTGAACAGAAGGATAGCAAAATAAAGAAATGGAAGACGAGAGCAAAACTCCAACTAAATGAAACCGCACTTTCTGAAAGTCTAAAAACTGAATATGGAAATAATCTGTTTAAAGCTCAGGATCAAATTCACTGTTTGGAACAGAAAATTAGTGTACTTACAGATTCCAACGCACTGCTTTCAACAGAGAAAGAGTCTTTAGTCAAGGCGACATCGTCCCTGTCTTGCCAGCTGAAGGAAGTTAAGATGCAGTTAGAAAACACAGAGGAGCAACTGTCGTCAGCTCTGAATAAAGATGCCCAACAGTCAAGCATCTTAGCAACTAAAGAAATGGAGAATGAGCAAATTACCAAGGAGCTTGAAATAACAGCGACAGAACTACAGAACGCAAAAGACGAAATTAGCGATTTAACAAAGAAAACTCAGGAACTTGAATCTGAAATCAAACTGTTTCCCAGAGAGAAAATGGAAGTTCAGGGAAAACTTGACCAGCTAGCTGAAGAATTCTCTAAAAATGGCTTGACATCAGTAGCAATGCACGTGAAAACGCTGCTAAATGGTATGAATGAAAAAGACAAGAATAAATATACTGTTGGTCGTTTCAACCTGGAGTTAGAAAGCCAGAATTTTATGAAAACGATCACGGAACAGAAGACAGAAATTGAGGAACTGAAAGCCAAATTGCATAAAGCTATGGCTGCTCAGAGTAAAAAGCTGTTGCGTAAGAGGCAAGCATGACATCCGCGGACGTTAATGTGGCTCAAATGGCAGCATGCACACCCACAAATTATACATCAAAACAAGCAGCTGTCACATTGAGAGCAGGAGGAGGTTAGGGCCCAAGATGCAGAATACCCCAGATGACATGAGGCAGGAGCATTTTAAAAGTAAATCCTTTATTTAGGATGATGAACAAAAATCCAAAAAGGGCAGGAAGCCAAAAACCAAAAGTCCTAAAACCCAGGACACCCAAAGCTCACATAGAGCACAAAAACAACGCTAACACAAACAATGGACCGACAAGACACTGAGACGAGACAGGGCTTATATACACTGGGGCATGATGGGAGGCAGATGGGCTGCAGGTTTGTGGAGAGAGAACCAGGTGAAAGCAATTAACTAATCAGGGAGGAAACTAACATGACCTAAGAGTAAAGAGTAAAAAACCTAAAGACAAGATAAACAGCAAAATAAACTAATATTCTAAGGGGAAGGGAAACTACAAAAACCTGTGGAAAAAACATGCTACAGAGACTGATAAAATGAGAAGCTGAACCTATAAAAAAACTGCAGAGGGGTGACTGGGGGAGACTGAAGGAACACAGGACTTGGGAGGGAATATCTGGAAGGCTGAAGACCAGGGGACACATGAGGAACACAAAGAGACACATAAGGGGGCTTCTTAGGGGGGAATGGAGCACACAAGGAGACACATGAGGGAGACGCAGACAGACCATGACAGTACCCCCACCCCCAAAGGGTGGATACCAGATGCCCACAAGACAGACAAACAATACCACGATCAAAAGACAAGACTAAAACAGGACACGAGAAACCACAGGGCGGGAGAGGAGGGACCAAAACAAACAACAACCCACAAGGGCGGGCGAGGAGGGACCAGGGGACTCTGGGAGGCCGGCGACGGGGAACCAGGGAACAGGGGACTCTGGGAGGCCGGCGACGGGGAACCAGGAGCCGGGAACAGGGCACTCTGGGGGGCCAGCGATGGGGAACCAGGAGCCGGGAGCAGGAGACTCTGGGGGGCCGGCAACAGGAAACCAGGAGCCGGGAGCAGGAGACTCTGGGGGGCCGGCGATGGGGAACCAGGAGCCGGGAGCAGGAGACTCTGGGAGCCGGCGATGGGGAACCAGGAGCCGGGAGCAGGAGACTCTGGGAGCCGGCGATGGGGAACCAGGAGCTGGGGCCAGCGACAGAGAATCAGGAGCCGGGAGCTGGGAAATCTAGGGATCGGGCCGGCGACGGGGAACCAGGAAAAAGGGGACTCTGGGAGGCCGGCAACGGGGAACCAGGGAACAGGGGGCTCTGGGAGGCCGGCGACAGGGAACCAGGAGCCGGGAGCTGGGAAATCTAGGGATCGGGGGCTTTGGAGGAGGAGGACGAGGAAGGGACTTCAGAGGACGAGGATGAGGAAGGGACACCGGGGAACCAGGGAACAGGAACAGGACACGAGAAACCACAGGGCGGGAGAGGAGGGACCAGAACAAAAAAACAACCCACAAAGGCAGGCGAGGAGGGACCAGGGGACTTTGGGAGGCCGGCGACGGGGAACCAGGGAACAGGGGACTCTGGGAGGCCGGCAACGGGGAACCAGGGAATAGGGGACTCTGGGAGGACGAGCAAGAGACTTCAGAGGACAAGGATGAGGAAGGGACTTCAGAGGACGAGGAGGATTTCCTCCAAAGTCCCCGATCCCTAGATTTCCCAGCTCCCGGCTCCTGATTCCCCGTCGCCGGCCCCCCAGAGTCTCCTGCTCCCGGCTCCTGGTTCCACGAAGGGACTTCCTCGTCGTCCACCTCCAAAGCCCCCGATCCCTAGATTTCCCAGATTCCGGCTCCTGATTCCCCGTCGCCGGCCCCCCAGAGTCTCCTGCTCCAGGCTCCTGGTTCCCAGAGAAACCACAGGGCGGGAGAAGAGGGACCAAAACAAAAAAACAACCCACAAGGGCAGGCGAGGAGGGACCAGGGGACTCTGGGAGGCCGGCAACGGGGAACCAGGAAAAAGGGGACTCTGGGAGGCCGGCAACGGGGAACCAGGGAACAGGGGGCTCTGGGAGGCCGGCGACGGGGAACCAGGAGCCGGGAGCTGGGAAATCTAGGGATCGGGGGCTTTGGAGGAGGAGGACGAGGAAGGGACTTCAGAGGACGAGGATGAGGAAGGGACACCAGGGAACCAGGGAACAGGGGACTCTGGGAGGCCAAGTCAGAGGACGAGGAAGGGACTTCAGAGGATGAGGATGAGGAAGGGACTTCAGAGGACGAGAAGGATTTCCTCCAAAGTCCCCGATCCCTAGACTTCCCAGCTCTCGGCTCCTGATTCCCCGTCGCCGGCCCCCCAGAGTCTCCTGCTCCCGGCTCCTGGTTCCATGAAGGGACTTCCTCGTCGTCCTCCTCCAAAGCCCCCGATCCCTAGATTTCCCAGCTTCCGGCTCCTGATTCCCCGTCGCCGGCCCCCCAGAGTCTCTTGCTCCCGGCTCCTGGTTCCACGAAGAGACTTCCTCGTGCTCCTCCTCCAAAGCCCCCGATCCCTAAATTTCCCAGCTCCCGGCTTCTGAATCCCCGTTGCCGGCCCCCCAGAGTCTCCTGCTCCCGGCTCCTGGTTCCCCGAGAAACCACAGGGCGGGAGAGGAGGGACCAAAACAAAAACAACCCACAAGGGCGGGCGAGGAGGGACCAGGGGACTCTGGGAGGCCGGCAGCGGGGAACCAGGGAACAGGGGACTCTGGGAGGCCGAGTCAGAGGACGAGAAAGGGACTTCAGAGGATGAGGATGAGGAAGGGACTTCAGAGGACGAGAAGGATTTCCTCCAAAGTCCCCGATCCCTAGATTTACCAGCTCCCGGCTCCTGATTCCCCGTCGACGGCCCCCCAGAGTCTCTTGCTCCCGGCTCCTGGGCCACAAAGGGACTTCTTCGTCGTCCTCCTCAAAAGCCCTCGATCCCTAGATTTCCCAGCTCCCGGCTCCTGATTCCCCGTTGCCGGCCCCCCAGAGTCTCCTGCTCCAGGCTCCTGGTTCCCAGAGAAACCACAGGGCGGGAGAATAGGGACCAAAACAAAAAAACAACCCACAAGGGTGGGCGAGGAGGGACCAGGGGACTCTGTGAGGCCGGCGACGGGGAACCAGGGAAAAGGGGACTCTGGGAGGCCGGCGACGGGGAACCAGGGAACAGGGGACTCTGGGAGGCCGGCGACGGGGAACCAGGAGCCGGGAACAGGGGACACTGGGGGGCCAGCGACGGGGAACCAGAAATCTAGGGATCGGGGGCTTTGGAGGAGGAGGACGAGGAAGGGATCTTTCTGAATTGCGTTCAAATGGCACTCTGTAGACCTGCTTCATCCTGAGATGATATCTGCGCAAGACATGGTCCAGTGTTGATAAGCTTACCCTATCAATATTTTTAAACATGTCATTGTTTTCTAATATTTTTCTTTGTATTTGCCGTAATGTTATGGCATTGTTTTCTAGGACCAAGTTCATGATTTCAGTTTCCTGTTCCCACCTCGTTTTGGTAATCTTTCAGTTCTGCCAAACAAATAGTAAAATATTGTGAATACAAAGTAGGTATACATTTCCTAAATACTGGAAACATACTTTACAGTATTTTTACTGTCCAACAAAACAGTCCACAGGCAACATCACTTCTATTCTCCTTGAATACTGATTGTACTGATTTGCAATGCTGCCATTTTCTATTGAGAGAAGATTTCTTACCTATTTGCATTTCGGAAAGTCCGGATGATAGTTGCTACAGTTCACCTGCTCAAATTTGGCTGAACTCTTTGCCCAGCCTCCCTCATTGTAAGACCATTGTTGACCACACGATCAACCAAAGTGGCTCGGATCTCATCAGAGATTGCGGCCCTTGGTCCTCTCTTACTCTCACTCCTCTGGCTCTGCCTCTGTTTCCAATGTTGGCATCCATTGCTCCAAAACAGAAGAGCTCACCTGTTGCCCTTTTATGCTAAAGCTCTGATTGCTAATTGTAAAATTGTGTGACAGGTGTTTGCCCTTGTGATGAGTCAGTGTGCATATTTGAATAGCAGTGTGTTCCTTGTGAAAACAAGATATTTTCTGCATGAACATTGTGCCAACAGCAGAGAAGTGTGTGTAGTGTACAATTATGAAATCCTGCAGCACTATCACTTGTACTGCTTCGTTTTCACACAGAACAAGACCCCCCACACGCACACACGCGTGCACACACACCCACACCCACACACAGCCTGAAGCGCAGAATACAGAATACAGAATATCAGCAGGGGGACAGATTGAGACAGAACATCATGCGTCTGTGACAGTGTGTCCTGTCACTGTGACCCGATTGATCATGCGCCCTGGCTACTTGTACAGGGGAGATCTCTGTTTGGCTGACTGGTTAGTGTACATGACTTTCACCTGGGAGTCTGGGGATCAAATCCTGATTGGACCATTTTTTTTGTATCCACCACAGATCTCTCTGAAGAATTCAGCATTGACAGCTTCAGCAACGCTGTGCCACTCCATGGATTTTCTCTTATTTGTTTTGCAAAAGCACTTCCTTTCATTTCTCCACCTCACCCACAGGTACCTCAATTTCTGTTTCTGTGAAATAGCGCTTGCTTGATCTGTCTTGATCTACGGTCGCCATCGTCATTGGCGGAGCGCTGCAACAGCCGGCTTATGTATATGCATGAGATCCACAAGGCACTTTGCATTGAATATTTATGGCTGTAAGTGGGCGTGGTGAGGGCGGGATGTGACTAAAATGCAGCTGCGAAACATTCTCGTTAGTCTCCGATTTATGAAGCAGAGATTGCGTGCAGCTGTGCGTACTCCATGTTTGATAGGTCACACACCTGCTTGGTGTAAGTACTTTTTTTTGTGCTGAGCTTAAAGAGCGGGTCAATTGAGCCTCGGAGTCCTTCTCCACCCACGTATCAATTTTAAAAAATGCAACATTAGTAGGCGTTGCCTGGAGGACCGAGAGGGCGGAGCCGCGGCAGTGACGAAGACGACGGCTAACTAGAAGATGCTAGCTCCCTTCACTCTATGCAGTTATTAGAAGTGGAGGATGTTTCTCCCCCTCCTTACCCAGACACTCGGGAAGAAAGGGACCAAGTCTATTTGGAGGAGACAAGCGGACCTGAGCCTTATTGTTGTGAGCTTGTGAGTTGCCTGTAACTCCCAGAACCGACCCAACAAAACCACCTCTGAACGTAAGTAGCCGTTAGCCATAGCATTGGATTAGCTGCAGGGTTTGTCTCCACGGCCCCCAGAGCTAGTATTCAGCATGTTTTAGAGGTTTATCTGCTTCAGCACACCTGGTTTTAATCAGCAACAAATAGCTGAGCTGCTTAACAGTTAATCTAACCTGTTAAAGCAGGAAAATCCACTGAAACATGCTGGATAGCAGCTCTCCGGTAGCTCTGGGCTCAAGTTACAGTCTGCTGCATAAAGTTATGAAAATGCCCCATGAGAAAATTATTCTGTAATGTGTTCAGCTCACTAAAACTGCCCTGGTTTATTTATTTACTGATAACAGCTGCTCTCTTGGTTCTAGGTCCTCTGGTGTCTGTAGCTGGTCTCTGGTGTCTGCAGGTGGTCTCCTCTGCTGGTGTCGTCAGGATCAGGAACTTCCAGAAGAATGTGCCTTTCAATGACTCTTTCCCCCTTATTTGTTATATTAATTAAATAAATCTCATTTTATATATTATATATTTCCTGTTTTTGTTCATGTCCATAAATACTTAAACATGCTTGAAATTAAAACGAGCTTTTAACAGTGAGGTGCTAGTTTAATTCATCACAATAGAGCAAGTTAAACATGCATTGTGATAATTCAATTAATGTAATTTATAAATATCCATTAAAATATCAAAACTGGAATCTATGAGATATTTGGCAGCACAAAAAACTTGTCAAACACAATATTTATTATAATAATTGTGGGCAGACAGGAGACAGAGCTGATGGAGGTTCTCAGTCATCGAAGGATGGCTGAAGGCTTTCCAGGAACAGGAGATGTGGTGTTGTCTCTTCTCTCTCTATTCTGCCAGATGAGCTGATAGGTTACAGGTGTGTGAGGACATCCTCATGCTGTCATAACCAGATGACAGGAGTTATCAGGTGATCAGCCAGGCTAATGAGATGCAGAAAGAAAACAAATTCAGGACAGTGTACAATATGTGGTGTTGCTCACCTTAAGTGCTCTTATAGAGTTATTAACGTGTGCCTGCCTCATGGTGTAGAGTCCATATTTTGCTGAGTGTCCTGCAATAATGCAGGTTATTAGTTAATTTACTTTTGATAGCAAAAACAAAACATTTTATGTAAAAGTTGTTTTCCAGGTGAATCAGCTCACACGTCACCACCAAGTGTCACGGGGGCAGAATCAGTAGCCTCCTTCATGATGTCATGATGTAATACATACTTATTTAATTGTTAATATCTTAAAAATTCTGAAATGTTTTAATTTTTTTTTTTACCTTGAACAGTTCACTGAGCTTGCACTGTCACTGAGGTGGAAGCTGGAATCAACAGCAGACACCTCACATCTTGGTCTTTTCAGGGGGTGTGGCCGCTGCTCTGGGACCTTCTGGAAGATGAATTTTCATCATGGTCCCCGTGGGTCACCAGACACACTGCGGCTGTGAACTCCATTCTGGCTGGCTATGTAAAAACAAAGAAGCAGCACATTTATAAATGTTTAAAAGAGCATAAAATCACGTATAACAATAATCTGTAAAACAAATTAAAACTAGAAGGTAATAATAAAATGTTTACATAGAAGATTATTAAAAATAATTCACCTTTGCTTCGCCTGGACAAGTGCATTCTTGCAGCTAAATCAGTCTGACAGCCAGTGTCTTGGGTAGATTTAGCCTGAAAAAAATATATAAGCACATTGTTGTTGGGAGTTTATAAAGTCAGATAATATACAAAAGAAACTGTCCTATATAGGCGCTTTATAACATTCCTAGTGTGTGATCATTATAACGTAAAAGTCAGTCACATATGATATGGAGAGCCTGAAATGCGACCTCCTGAACAGAATTCCTCACAGAACCTGTTCACAAGCTGGATTTCATGCTGTAATGCTGTCTGTCAAGTGCTGCGTCAGTTAGAGCCACTGTTGCAGAATTGCCGACTGACTAGCTAAAGGAAGTGAACCACGTCTCTCAGACTTTGCATTTAGGTAGGGAATTGTCTTTAGAAGATGTTAAAACGTTTATTTAGCTTACTCACCTCAGACTGGAGCCCGCCATGGTGGGGGAGCAGAGTCGGTGGGCTGCATCTAAATCGCGGAAGAGCCACGGTGGGCAGCCTCCCTCTTCAAACGGAGACGTGCAGAATCGCGGGTAAAATGCCCACAGAGTCACCGCAAGCATACTACACTACACCTACTCACCAATACTAAGACGATATGGAGCACTAAACCCGAAATACTTTCCCAATTACACTAACAGCCAAACACTAACTAAACTACAATATCCAACAGCCAAATCTAACACTAAATAAGTATTTATAACACTAAAAGATATGCTAAGACTAGGATATGCTAATGCTATACGCTAATGCTGAACTACCGCTGACCTCCTACACTCGCTTGCAAATCCAACTCCCAACTCGCCACAGGGCGTGGCCAAGACGCTCGTTGCTTTTATAACTTTGGCACGGAGCTGCTACGTAGTACTCTACTGGTTTACGTAGTACTTTACTCTTTAGCCATTGGCTAAAATTTATTCAAAATGACTCAAATTCTATGTTTTCAGCTGAAGGTGGCGCATTACTGTGGTTTTTAGACAGAATTTTTAATTTTTAAAGAAAATGCACCAAAATGCTAAAATAAAGAATGCACACATTTAAAACACTATTAGACACTCATTTATACAGTTCATCAGCAAAAAAAAGTTAATTTAGACGTTACTTGCTCTTTAAGTACGGTTTTAGTAAGGATTCTACACAATGTTTGATAAATGAGATCCCACAGTTTGCGTGGAAAGTTGCTTACGCAGTTTTCCGACACTGTTTTGTGCGTAAGCAAGCTTGATAAATGAGGCCCCTGGTTCCTGCAGCAGTCTTGTCATTCTGCTTCCTTCTTGGAGTTCCTGGAAAAATGTTTGGCATCATCCTTAAACCTAACTGGAAGCATTTATCCAGTCTGAGCCAGAGTTTGCTGCTGAATCTGGCCATCTGTGACCTGCTGGTAATGCTCGCCCTTCCGGTATGGATTTACTCTTTTTTTCCATGGCTGGATCTTTGCTGTGGTGGCCTGTAAGCTTTTAGCATATACCGAGTACCCCACCATTTATGCAGCCTATTTCTATGGCTGAAATTTTCATTTAATATAATAATAAGAGTCTGAAACAAATCTTACCTGTGTTGTTGTTGCTGATCATGGAGATCTGATGGTATCTTTAGAACATGGGGTGTGTACTCTGGAGCAGTTTGTAGTGTGAAACAGCCACCGTGAGAGTAAACTCCTTCAAGTCCAGGGCCATGGTTCTCAGTTGGGATGATTCAAAGGTCAGTCTCTGCCTCTAAAGTTTGATATTTAGCAGAAAGCAGCAAGACATGAAGAGATTCATTAACATAAATCAGGGTTGGCTGGACTCCGCTTCAGATTTAGGGTGAGAAACTCAGAAGAAGACACAAAGAACTGCTGATCCTTTGTATTAAAATTAAATTAAAATCTCGTCTACACACGTCATCTAGAATCTTCTTGCCGTAACTGGCGACAGCCATGAAAGTCGAAGTGGTGAGAAAGTAACTTTTGTGTTTTGAAAATGGGCTGCAGTAACCAAATTTGACCACAAGATGGCATTAGTGTTTCATTCTTATATAATGCACGTTTAAAAAGTTCTGTATAACAAAGTTTTACTTACATAGATTTGTTCAGATTTAAAGCCATTGTTTGTTAAATGAAAGGGCCAAAAATGCAAAAGTGATGGATAAGGTTTCTGTCTCTTTCCATCTACAATTTCCTGTTTTTTTAAAAGTTCCTCTTTGGTATAAAACAAAAGACACGTTTACCACTGTCAGTAGCTCAGAACAAATCGTCACACAATGGATCAACCAAATTCCACCATGGCTACTTTCAACTTCACCTCTTCTGCAGGACCTCATCCTTCCTGGGACTCCAGCGGTCTGGTTCCTGCGGTGATGTTGTCCCTCGTCTGCGTTTTGGGAGTTCCTGGAAACATCGCCGTGATCATTCTTAAGCCCAACTTTGCGAGAATGTCCAGTCTGAGCCAGTCTTTGCTGCTAAACCTGGCCATCTCTGATCTGCTCTGCCTGATGACCCTTCCTCCGTGGATTTATGCTTTCCTGTACGGCTGGCACTTTGGCGTGGTCGCCTGTAAGCTTCTAGCATACGTTGAGTGCTGCACCATTTACGGTAGCCTTCTCACTGTGACCGGACTAGGCATTCAACGCTACCTTGTTGTCGTGCACCGGCAGAGCTGTCAACAGACTGGACTGCTGCTGGCTCTGCTCTGGCTGGTGTCTTTCACCCTGTCCACTCCGTCTTTGGTGACTCGAAGCGTTAAAAATCAACTGTGGCCAGACTGTCAAGACCAGTACTCTTCTGATTCCCAACAGATAGCTTCACTGATGACAGAGACCACGTTTGGATTTCTTTCCTTTATTATTGTGGCTTTTTCATACATTCAGATCAAGAGAACTGTTAACCAGTCAGCCTTTTTCAAATATCCACAGACGACCAGACTGGTTACCAGCATCATCGTAAGCTTATTTGTCCTGTGGGCTCCATACCACATTGTAAACATTTTGGGTGTGGTTGCCATTTGCCTCAAAAATGAAAGCCTTTTGAAGTTTTATAAAGACACAAAGAACATTGTAGGATCGGTAACATTCACAAACAGCTTCCTGAATCCATTCCTGTATGCTTTTGCATCTGGTAAAATCAGCATGAGCTGTCGAAAACATAAACCAGTAACGCAAATGGAAACAATCTCTCAGGTAACAGAAGTTTCTACAGTTGCAGAACTTTGCCAGTGACAATATTTAGAAATGTCACTTCTCACTGCGTAAAAGATGATGATGGTGTGGGTTTGGAACAGTTCTTGAAGTTGAAGAAAGTAAGTGCTGGTACTACCATTAAGAGAGACAGAATATTTGTTCTGTAGTTTTGGAAATGTCAACTGATAAACTGCACGAAAAAGTGTCGGCATGTGCGGGTACCAGAAGTTCAAAATAAAATCGGTTATATGATGTAATCATCTATTTGTCACAACACGACTTACATAATACACATTTTAATGATTTATTGCGATGTAAAAATACTTTTTTAAATTTAATTTACCTTTATTTATCTTTGCTGTTAATTACCAAATAGATTCTGACTATAAGTTGAACCCATTTAGTTCCTCTTTGGTTTAGTTTGCATCTAAACAGGTTCCTGTTGAAGATGTGTCTTCTCTTTGACATTTTAGTGTCTACAATAAAACTTTTATATGTCAATTAGTATTTCACAGGAAATGTTGCAGTTCGCTACAGTAGGAAGTTACACAAATGACAATAAAGTATCTTTAAAAATTATACTGTGACTTTTAAACAACTTATTGTTTTATTTATTCGCCTGACACAGAAACAGGGTTTCATTTTGTCTCCTGGAAAGTGTTTCTTCATAACTTACTTTATCTGTTTTAGTCTTTTCATTGAATTTTTTTCTTTTCTTTAACATTGAATTTAAATTTAAAGCTGGGACTGAGATCAGTTTTGCTCTTTATAGAATATTTGTTTATTGAGTTCCTTCTTAAAAATAGGCAACGACTATTCATTCATTCATTCTAAAACCCAACTGTTGCTGTAGAGATGACGTCAACATTGATGATTGTGGTTATTATGTAGTGCATAAACATCCAGGGCAGACACAACCAGTTGGAGTAAGGAAGTTGTCTCTATTGTTGTTTCGTTGGACTAGGACAGTACATTTGTGTGTAATGCGGTTCCAGGGATTCACCAGCAGTTAGGTGATCTGAGTTTGTCTGTAAAACCTACCCTTAGAAACCTTGGAGTTTTCTTTGACAAGGGAATGTCTCTTGAACATCACTCAAGGCAGTTAACTAGAAACTGTTTTTACCACTTGAGACAAATTTCTAAACTCAGAACAATGGTGTCTAAAGTTGATCTTGAGTTGATTATTCATGCGTTTACATCATCCCGTTTAGACTACTGTAAAAGTTTATTTTCTTGTCTAAACAAAAAAGAGCTGTCCCGCTTACAACAAGTCCAGAATTGTGCAGCTAGAATTCTGACCCGTGACAACAGAAGGGCCCACATTACCCCCATTTTAAAAGCTCTTCATTGGCTTCCAATCTCATCTCGCATCAATTTTAAAATTCTTGTGCTGACTTTCAGAGCGCTGCTTGGTCTGGCTCCATTGTATGTTCGAGACATGCTCTGCCCTTACACGCCTTCTCGCAGGCTGAGATCTCTGGATCAAAACCTTTTAATGGTCCCACGTACTCAGTTCAGGACACGAGGAGATCGCTCATTCCAGGCCATCGCTCCTAGGCTCTGGAATGAGCTACCTCTGTCTTTACGCTCAATCGACTCAGTTGATGTTTTTAAGAGCAATCTTAAAACCCATTTGTTTCTCCAGGCATTTTAAACTTAGTCTCATTCGGATTGGTTGTATTTGACACGATGTATATTGTGGCTATATTTTACTGTATTTATATGTTGTTGCCTTTTAAC